AATGTAATTATATTGTATACCTAAAATGTACCAATAAAATAAAATTAAGAAAAAAAAATGTAGTTTAAATGTTGTATTTTATAAATTATGTGGCTTTCAGTTGAACAGAGGCCATGAGTAGACAAGCTTGCCTCAGTAATATTTGCTGTATTATTCTTGGAAGTATCTCCATAATGTTGCTCAGAAAAGTACAGAGGAAGCTTCTATGCAAGAATTCTATTAGAGTGAACGCAATGTGATAATTCTGCTTCCTCTAATCTAGACCTGGTGACAGAGGCAACTACTTCATCATGCTTAAACATTTTCAAAATTAAACGCTGCCAATTGTTATAGAGTCAAAATATTGAGAAATTTAAGGTATTGCTATCTAGGAACCTCTGCATTGGGTGAATGGTGACGCATACACCACCCACCCACACACACCCACATTTATGTATCTATTCTATAGCAGAACAGAACAAATTCAGTTTTACAACATACATGATCAAACCTGTCATAGAAAGTGCAACATGTCTTCTCTAGCAGAGAGGATCACTAGGGTAAGAATCTTGCAGAGCTGAGATTTGCTTACACCCTGAACATTCCCAGCAATGGGCTTGGGGCTGCTGAGCATCTGGTCTGTCTACCTGAATGTTTCTATTTGCCCTTTTGTGGGAAGTTCAAGCCTGTCTGGGATTTCAGTATGAGTGTGCATATGCACTGGAGGGTGAGGTCTGTTGGGTTTCAGTCTCAAACCACATAAAGCAGCTAGTCAGCTATAAATACACAGTGTCACATCACTACTCACTTACCTGGATACAACACCTTGCAGTTTTATGTTTCATAGTTTCAGTGTCATGGGTACAGAAAGGTTGTTGATTGATTGGGGATATATTTTATACTGGCAGTAGCCAAAGAATTAAAGAAACAAAGAGAGTTAATTCAGGCTTACCAGGAAGACAGAATTCCCGCCTCACTAATCTGATTTCAAAGAACTCCACAAAGTCTGCCCATATAAAGTACTTAGTAACATGTCCATACCAAGGCTTCTTTTATTTGTTTTGAGACAAGGTGGTTTTGAACTCATGGCGATCCTCCTGCCTCAGCCTCCTGAATGCTGGGATTACAGGCATGTGCCACCATGCTTTGCTGAGCAGGGCTTCTTTTATCTTTCATCTCCTAACTTACCTTCACATTGAATATGTTCCTCAATACAAACCACCGTCTTCTAGTTAGTTTTTTAAATTATACTCAAGTAATACTTATTTATTCTCACAATGAGATCATTGTCAAGTCCATTCTATTCACTCCAAATGCTTGTGAATAACATGGGTATAACAGCTTATTAAACAAGAACTCCATTCATAGTTATTGTCATCATATCATTCTCCGTGAAGAATTTTGTTTTCAGTTGAAGAAAATGGAGAAGAGGAATATTAAAATGCAGAAACTGAAACTAGAATTGATTTTCCAGGTATAAATTTTTCACATCTGTTGCCCAATTATGAGACTTGTGTTGAATTATGAAACAAGTCACCACCACCTCACCTTTACCTGCGCAAGCAGTCCTCAAATACCTTCCAAGAAATAATCAGCTTCGTAATTACGAGGGTACAACAGAGTGTCCTGTCTGATTACTTACGATCAAAATATTCCTGTACAAATGAGCTCACTCTTCAATATTTACTCTTCTTTATTTACCTAAAAATGTTTATTAAGTGCCTGCTATATGTCAGGCACATACTAGGACATGGAACTAACAAAATATGAATGAAGCAATATACAGTCTGTTGGGGGAGATAATATCAAACACATATAGAGCTAAGCACAGAAGTAACGATATATTCATACCAAAGTCACTACATAGAACTTCAGCACAGTCTTCCTCTTAAATCGTAATTACGTGTTTAAATTTTAATTTTCTAATTCTGGCTGGGAATGCATGGATAACAATTAGTTCAAATACCTCTTCTACATTAAAATCAGTGGCAAACAAACTGGCCTGAGTTCAAATACTGTCACTTGATTCACTTTTCTTTTAGGGAAAACAAATCTGAAATTCTGTGAATTTCATTTCAATTTTGTCATCAGATAAACAAATATGACAACTTTAATAATGAAAGTTCTGAAGTTTAAACTAAAAAGGGATTAGAAACAATGGATGCTCTGAAGGAACTTCTAAGGCCATGGAAGCATAAATATAAACCCCCCAAAAAGCGATTGGTAAAGGACTGAATCAGAATATTAGGGAGTACATAGTGTGGGTTACTTTTGGGCTTTAAAAAAACAAAGACTCATGGAAAAAAACAGGGACTCTTTTTACTGGGAATGGGATGAACAAATGGTACAAGTTTGACTCTGAAATATTTGGGAAATTGTAGAGAAATGGATCTCAATAGGCTAACAATGCATGTAGAGTTTAGGACAGAATGGGAGAGGGTGAAGAAGCCATGCCAGTAGCTCTTAACTGCAGACTGAGAAAGGAAAAGGAAAACATCATTGCGGAGGATCAACTAATGGTCAACTTGGAATGTCCAGCTGAACTGAATCACCAATGGTCTGGGCATGGAAGACTCACCTGAGGGTTGTTGCCAATGGCATAAAAAGAGAGCTGAAATATGAAAATAGAAAAGCAAGCTAGTAGACTTCATAGAAAGAATACATTGTTTTTAATAGAATGATGTTTTCTTTATTTCTTAAGACCAAGTACATGTATTTGGTTTATATTTTACTTTCCTGAACAAGGATATCTAAATGCAATGTGTATATAAATCTTCCAAGGCTTTGGGTAGTTACTTTCTATTCTCTAGGATCTGGTTCAAGCTTTCTTTTGGAGTCATTAATAATTCATATATTCTTTAACATTATAACTCCAACTGATTTAGTAAATATGGCATTGATTTAAATGTTGATTCAAAGAACTCAATCAAACATAATCTCGGATTCCAATGAGAAGTGATTCTTTTCCAAAGTGTTAAATGATGGAGAATCCTTAATACTTGCCGTCTTTACCATTAGCATAAGCCTTCTAGAAATTTGGGTAGATTATAAACTTTTTTTCAGTGCTAAGGATAAAAGATTATAAACTTTAACTATAACTTCTTGTCCTTCCGAATATAAATTGACCTTTAAGCAATAGGGAAACTCCTCAAACTAGTCATGAAATTCAGAAAAAAATGATGTTTTCATAGTTCTTATAATCTCAATTCAGTTCCTTTCAGGGGCTATCCATTTAAATGTCCATGATATGGAAGATCATAAAAATTTGTGATCATCATTTCTGACTCTTTGTAGCACTACTTCTATAACTAATCACACTTTCTACCAAATCAACCAATGTAGGCCAAAATATATTTAACGTTATGCTGTTACTGAACTCAACAGAGAAAACACAAAGCATGATATCCAACATGATAAACATCTAACATGATAAAGTGGGACAATAATAGAAATGTATAAGTAAGGAAGTAATATACAAATGGAAAGGATTCTGATCAGATTAACAAAACTGAAACAATCACAGAAAGTTCACATTGTCACACATTAGTATGGGGTGGACTGTTCCTCATCCTTGAGATATTTCACTAAGACAAAGAATAAATGAAACAAGAAGTTCTCTGATAATTTTAGAAACACAATACAGTTGGATTTACTTATATAATTTTAAAATGTCATATTATATCTGTTCACAAATGGTGTCATGGTTTACTACTTTTGCAAAAATATCAAATATGTAACACACTAAACCAATTAACTTTAATGCTAAAATAATTATGAGATGATATTTATTCTGAAAGTGTATTTTTTCCTGATTAACTTAGAACCTGTGGAAGAATTTATTGTTTCTACTTTTACTTATGAGAGTAACATAATAAATTTATAGCTAATGTTAAAATTCTATATTAAGGATAAGCTACTGCATAAATTTTACAAGAATTCTTTTCAGCCAGAATTCTTGCCTGATATTATGAATAAGGCTATTTTGTTTTGAGTAAAAGCAAATGAAATGGGGGCCAGGGATTTAGCTCCGTGGTTTCGCCCCCTGCTGCGCAAGCTCAAGGACCTGAGTTCGATCCCTGGTACAAAAAACAAACAAACAAACAAACAAAAAACCCAAATGGCTCTAGTGAGGTCTTCTAATCATCATAGATCAACTCTGTCCAAAATGGATTGTTTTAGATATAGGCAACTGACCAAAGTGGACCCAATCAAAACACCACCACAAAATTTTTACTTTTATCCTTTCAGACAGGAGGAGAAAAAAATTCTTCCCTAATGGTGGAGCTTTGAGATTCAAAAGCAGGAATGTTGCCTGTCATGATCCCTACTATGAGCCCCAAACCTAGTTTGATAGATATAAAGACAAGGGACAGGAACAACATTTAAATTTCTGGTTCCAAAAGAGTTCGCAGGCCAGGTTTATGTTTTGAGTTATAAAACACACCCAGTAATTTTCTAAAACATTTCCCCTGAGCTTTTGTAATACAGATTCTGCACTAGCAATGCAGAGTAACCAAGGGGGTCTTATATTTAAAAACAGGAATCAGTAATACCACAGACACTTTTTATGCTACAGAGAGGTGAATACTTTATTACAATTCTGACAAGCTAGTTTTAAATTTGCCTTTGCTAAATACTTCTCGTTGTCTTCCATGGAGATCCCTGTGTTTTGTAACTGGCAAGATCATCCAGCTCCCTCTGGATCCTATTGCTCCTACCTACCTCCCCAGTCAAGCCCACCTGCCACTGCCCAGCCTATTGTGATAACTCAGTAAATACTGATGGTTAATTATTACCACTCATCTTATCTTCAGTCTTCACGTAGAATGTGAAGAGCCAGGCCTGTAACCTTACTCTGTTGACAGCTACTCCTGTTGTGCTGACTTGAGGTGTGTCCTGACCCCTGTCCATGCCCCTGTTTCTGTCATCCTTACCGAATGAATGAGCTGTTTCTTCTCCATTTGACCTTTGCTCCTGGACTCAACACTGATACTGCTTTTTCACATCTCCCTTTTTCACAGACCTTCTCTGGCCCACATTATGGATGGATGGCTGTTTTATCTTCGCAGCCCGAGTGCAAGAAGAAGGCAACTAAATCTGATTGTCTTCAAAGGTCTGATTATTATTGTCTTTCTGTTGTCAACCTGTGGTGGTTTGTTTTTTTCTGAAACTGAAAATATTGATCATGCTTATGAGTCAATGAACTAAGCCATGAGACAATCTTCCATTTATGATTTGTTGGTTGCAATCAAACATGTCCTGAAGCAAAAGCCCGGTTTCAAAGCATACATATTAATCAACAGACTATGGAAATCCCATAGGAAGCAAAAAAAGAAAAGTAAATTTATTTTTCTGACATATTGCAGTATCTTGTGCCCTTAAAATGTAAGTTACTGGAGAGTAATAGATATTTTTGTTTTGTTTATCACAGAGTCCTTAGTACCTGGAATTGAACACTATATATATATATA